AAATCAAGAACTCAGTTAGCTATAGCAAAGCATTTGCACAAACATAGGAGATAAACATGAACCTGAAACTCAAACCCAATATTAGCATTAATAAAAAAACATATACACCACAAATGAAATCAAAATTAAAGATAGAATCAAGCACTTGTGATGAGAAAAAAATTGGAAAGTTAAAGGCTAGAGTGGCAAGGCAATAGCAAATGATCGGGCATGAGAGGGTAAATAAAACTCCTCTTTAAGCAACTCAAAAAGCATCTTTTGGATTAACAAAATTAGGAGTCTTCTCAATTTTCAGGGTAGCCTTGGTCTTTGTGTTTTATTTTTCTTTAGCAGGCCTACATGTTCAGGATCATAGTTCATATGCAGCTGGTCCATGGCATTCTGGTTCGTGACACATATGACGTCAATTTCACCTTCTTTCTTTCGTTTTGTATCACCTTTAAGGAATTGGTTCAATCAATCATGTGCCCTCCGGAAAAACAATAGTTCACTTATCTCTAACCCCTTAAATCAGTAATCACATTACCTAAGAGCACTATCCGCTTCCCAAAGTTCACAATTCTAATTTCAGTAGAGTCATCTTTAATTTCAATAGAGTCAATAAGAGGAACAAATTTTCTTCAGCATCATTTGTAGAGGAACATGTTCTCTCAATCTATTCCCTAGACGTGGAACTATCAGGTGCAGTACCAACTATAATAATTTTTGACATCAACCCTAAATTCCAGTTTATATGGATCCCAATAGAAGGACTAGGTTCGACAGAGGGGTCTCCCATTGTTTCCCCCTCACTAGATGCACCCAAGTTGAGGCTAAAAAAGTGGACTTTGTTCAACTATAGGGTCCCAAAATATTCCCCTCACAAGGTACGTACTCCAAAACTTCCTCAGTAATTTTAGACACACCCAATACAGATTCCCCCTAAGAACCAGCACAACCTACTTTCTACACCACAACCTATATTTTATAAGCCACCAACGTAGAGGCGTCATCCACCGAAGTCATCTCAATCATAGCATCAGATAGACCAGCACACTTAGAATCTCCAAGAATGTCATTAAGAAACATAAATTGTAATTAATCAAGCATAGACATGTTTCTTGAAGAACACTTTATTCCACAATTTTAGAAAAAAGAGAATTTCTTGATTAAGAAGTTTATGGAAGAGAAGGGTGTGCGTTGTAGAGAAACACTAGGATAATGCTTTAAATAGGCTTTTTAAGAAGATGTTTGTTTAGTAGTATTGAGGACATGAATATATCTTTTGGGACAAGTGGAAGGAACATGTACATGTGCATTGATTTTATATTTAATTATGAATAATTGTAGTGCACATACCTTAGATCTCTGAAAATGTTGAATTTTGCTCCAATTTTATTAAGCATCTCTCATGTGATAGATGCAAATACAATGTTATAGTGCATGAGTAGCTTGGCTTTAAAAGTGGTATGGAGACATACAACTAAATATACAAGACTGAGCATAAAATTCATGATTAGAAGGCAGTATGCAAAATGTTCATTAGCCACTGAGGGATACTCATGTGATTTTAATCATCCCCAAGTTCCAACATGTTTCTTTAAAAGTGTTTCTTTAGTCTTGCCTACTTTTCCAACTTCTTTGATTTGACCTAAAAGAATTTTCACCACAAAAATTACTATTTCGTCCTTTTCTTCTACAAGTGAGAGGAATTTCTTCTAGTTTCAATCATGTGTCTCAAGCAACAACTGTTCATATAGAATGTTGCTTTCTTCCTCTCACTTTTCCTGCAAATTCAAAGGTTAGATTTAGGAACCCATACTAGCTTGGGACCTTTGTATTAATAAAAAAGATGAATAAGATCTCTATGTATCCATTTAGGATTTCTTTTGAGTATACATGTTCCTTTGAGGTGTCTTATAGGTGCCTTTTGTTTTATTGTTAATGGTGAATTTGTATTTTGGGCAAATTATCTTAGAGTGATCTGAATTACCACAGATGATGCATAACAAAGGGTTATCAATTCTGGACTGATCAAAGCCTATTCCAGTTTTTTTTATTTTGGTGGTTATTTCCCAGATGTGATACAATCATAGATGACTTTGTCCATTTATTTGCTTGTTCAAGTTCATATTTAGTCCTAGTTAGTTCAAGTCTCAGTTTTGTTGATTTTTCTCTCTTAGAACATAATTCGTTTTTGAGTCTTTTAACTTCATGATCATCTTTTGGCTTATCACAGATTTTGTCCTAACTTGTTTCTTTGAGTTTTAGGATTTCGATTTTATTGGACAGATTACAAGACTCTAGTTGCTGAACTTTTTGTGATAAAAACTTTTTTTTCTCTTTCAGGTCAGCATTGAGTTTTTCAAGATCTATATATTCAAATTTTAAACTGGTTAGGGAGGCAAGTATATGATTTTTGGTTTTAACTAGTTCCTGAATTGTGTCTATAGATGTGAGCATTAAAAATGATATTTTTTTCTTAGAGAAATTTATTAACTTATCTTTGAGATCAGAAAGGTTTACCTCATTTTCTTCAGAGTCTGAATCAGGTTCAGGTTCTGATTCTTCTATGGCCATTAAGGCAATGTCATCAGCATCGTCTTCGTACATCTCTAAACCTGTTCCTCAGGCAGCATACATAGCTTGCTCCTTCTCTTTGTTTTTTCTTTTGCTTAAAAGTTCTATCTTCTCCTTTTCAGCTCTTTGTTTTCTCCATTCTACCTCCCACATAGGACAATTCTTAATTTGATCATCAGTTTTTCCACACTTGAAGCATCCTCCACTTTGTGGTTGCTCTTATACCAATTGTTAGAATTATGACCTCCTTTATTCTGTAAAGGAACATGTACTAACTACTTGTTCTTTACTGTTTGTGAGTTCTAGTAAATAATTTCGTAAAATAATAATTAGTTCACAACTTTGTATTATTTATCTCAACTCCAAACAACACAAAGATTACACACCTAGGTAATCTAAGGAATTATAAACTCTAATTCCTAGCTAAGAAATTATAAACTCTAATTCTTAACTACCCAAGACAAAAAAAACCCAGGTTTAAGTCTTCTGCCGTCCGTCAAGTTTCTCAAACTTGTTAGACGAATCCTTCACACACTTGATTGTAATCAAAACTCTTAACTACAATCTTATAACTTTTTCCTCACAAACTCGCAACACTCCCCAAGTAAATCTCAAAACTCTCTCAAGCTCTTGATCGTGTTTTGATCTTCTCTCTATGTAAGTGTACAAACTTCTTCAAAGAAGTTATTGCCCTATTTATAGATTAAACCTCCTCAAAGTCTTGTTCAACTCGAACTTGCCTTTGCTACATCCTCAACTCCTTGTTCAACTCGAACTTGTCTTCAGTTTTCTTTTTTGACTTCACTTTGATTTATTTCCTTCTTGAACTCTTTATTTACGCCCCTTATTTCCTTCTTTGATCATGCTTCCTACTTTTCTTAGGATTTATACCTATGTTTACACTTTGACTTATTATGCACTCCCTTTTTCTTGTAGGACTCCTTTATAAAAAGGAAACTTTTTGTACTGGTTGCTTGTCAAAAAAGTAATCCCTCCACTGCTTTATAATTTCTAATTCGCGTGGTTGACGTTCTCCTTGTCCCGGTCGAATTCGATCTGAAAGGAACATGTTGTGCAACCGGTTCCTTTCATTTGTTCCTCTATTTGTAAATTATCAAAATCTTTCTCGTTCCTCTATTTGTCAATTATCAAAATCTTTTTCGATCTAACAAAAACATAATTGTGTTACTTATCTTATAATATTTTGTAATAAATATTTTTCATATTCTAATCGAACTCATCTTCTGAATTGATTAAAGTAATCAAATGATCATATTCGGCACACACCTGGAGAAATTCTTGAATAGTCTTGGCAACATAACAATTAGTTCTCGATCAAAGAAATGATAACACAAGAGAATAGAAGAACAAATGTTCGCAGTGCTCTGTAAGCAGGAAGTCATTCCATTTACTCGAGTATATAAAAGAAGGAAAATGTTCAAAATTCGATAACTACTAATTGAATTCAAATTTAGTTTTGTAGGCACTTGGACTTTGATTCAAATATATTATTATGCTCAATATTGTTCTACTTTGCACCAGGTCGCTAAAACAAATGAATATAAAAATAAAGTAGCTCTCTTTGCTCTAAATCAGTTTTGCATGCTCTCATTTTATAAATTAGTAGTGTCGTGATACAGTAACATGTTTATAATAACCAGATATAATGTTCTGAATTAGGCCTTGGATCTCTCTTCCACGAATACTGTAAATAAAGCACCACAAAAGTAATCATGAAGTTGATCCACAGATAAATTTATTTGAATCTCAAAATTTTAAATGTGTCACATAAATTAATTTGAATCTCAGAATTTGAAATGTGTTACATAAATTATCCAGGCTTCTTCTTTACTTGTGTTGAAAGGATTAACCTAGCTCTAATGGCTACTGTTACATTGAAGATGCAGAGAGAAAGAGAAAAGAAGATCTGGAAAAAATATAAAATGAACTGCCTTACTTGTATTCATATCTGATCTACTATTTATACAAGTGACTAAAGCTAACTGAATTATTAATTATCATAACCGACTAACAGCCTAACAATTAGTCTAACTAACTATGCAACTAATCACAATACAAGCTTTACTAACTATTGCTCAAAGTACAATTTACACAGCTAATACAACTAACACTAATTTCCACACTCCCCCTCAAGTTGGGTGGTGAAAAATATCCAGCAATCCCAACTTGAATAACATTTTTGTATGCAGCTGCTTCCCTAATGCCTTTGTGAATATGTCTGCCAGTTGATCTCTACTAGCAATATATGATGTTGTAACCAGTCCTTCTAGCAACCTTTCTCTAATAAAGTGACAATCAATCTCTATATGCTTTGTTCTCTCATGATACATGGGATTTGAGGCTATCTGTAAGGCTGCCTTGTTGTCACAGTGCAACTCCATTGGTAAGTCCACTTTGGCACCCAATTCTTTGAACAAACCCTACAACCACACTAATTTTGCCACTGTGGTAGCCATGCTCCTATACTCTGCTTCTGCTGAGCTTCTTGATACCGTGTGTTGCTTCTTTGACTTCCAAGAGATCAGGGAATCTCCATACTTTATTCCAAAACCAGTGACTGACTTCCTGGATAATAAGCAAGATGCCCAATCTGCATCACAATATGCAGTGACCTTCCCTGAATTTCTGCTGCTCATTAGGAGACCAAGTGCAGGTTGTTGCTTGATATACCTGATTACATGTAAGGCTGCTTCATAGTGTGACTTTTTTGGTGCATGCATGAATTGGCTTAGGTGTTGTACTGCATAAGATATATCTGGTCTAGTCATTGCTAAATATAACAGCCTCCCTATGAGTCTTTGATACACTCTTCTATCTTCTAGTTTTGCATCATCACTTGGAGGTTCAAATACTTTGTCATATTCTAGGCTGGTCAGTTTTTGATTTTGTTCCAATGGTGTTGTGGTAGGCTTTCCTCCCCCTAAACCACATTCTGATATTAACTCCAATGCATATCTCCTTTGATTCATTAGGATCCCTTTGGCAGACCTTGCAAATTCTATCCCAAGAAAATACCTTAGTTCACCTAAGTCCTTTATTTTGAAAATGTGATTTAAGATTTTCTTGGCCTCCTGAATAAGTCCTTTGTCATTACCAGTGATCAACAAGTCATCAACATAAACAAGTATTATAACAATTCCTTTTTGGTTCCTTTTGGTAAATAAAGAATAATCCAGTTTACTCTGTGTGAAACCAGACTGAATAAGAGCTGTTGTGAGCTTTAAATTCCATTGCCTGCTAGCTTATTTTAAGCCATACAGGGACTTGAGTAGTCTGCACACCTTATGCTCCCCCTGGCTACCAAGACCTGGTGGCAAAGTCATATAAACTTCCTCCAAAAGATCACCCTGAAGAAAAGCATTGTAGACATCCATCTGAAACAAAGGCCAATGAGATTGAGCAGCAATAGAAACAACAGTCCTAACAGTCACCATTTTGACCACTGGAGAAAATGTGTCATGGTAATCAAGACCCTCTTGTTGTGTGAAACCCTTGGCAACCAATCTAGCTTTGTACCTCTCAATGGACCCATCAGCCTTATACTTCACCTTGTAAACCCACTTACAACCAATAGGAGTTTTGCCAACAGGAAGGTCCACAACCTCCCAGGTATGATTGGCAGGGCATCAATCTCCTGATTCATAGCATGGATCCAGTTTGTGTCCTGAGCATCTTGGACATAGGAGGATGGTTCAGATATAGAAGAAGAAAAAGCAGTGAGATAGGCTTTGTAGGAAGGAGACACATGAGAGTAGGAAAGACAATTAGATATAGGAAGTGTGGATGTGGACTTGGTGATGTAATCTGTATGCCAAAGAGGTGGCCTGGTAGCTCTAGAAGATCTCCTTGGTGGTAGTGGATCATGAAGAGGTACTTCTGGAGATATAGGAGGAGAATGAATAGCAGATGGAGAAAGAGATGGAGAAGAGGTGTTGGTCATGATAGGATAAGGAGCAACATCCAAGGGATGAGGAAATGCAGAGGAAAGAGGAAAAGTGAGAGATGGGGTGATGGATTCAGGGATTAGAAAAAGTAGATTTAGGGTGCTTGAAAGGGAAAATGAGTTCTCTAAAAGAGACATCTCTACTAACAAAAAAAGTGTCTGAAGAGATGTTGTAAAGTTTATAACCTTTTTGTGTATCGGAATAGCCCATAAAGACTGAAGGTATGGCTTTGGAAGAGAACTTGTCAGTAAAAACAGGTTTAGTGGCATAGCACAGACAACCAAACACCTTAATATGATCCACTTTAGGAGGATGACCATAGAATATTTCATAAGGTGATTTGTGAGAGAGAATACTGGATGGCAACCTGTTAATGAGGAATGTTGCAGTAAGAACACACTCACCCCAAAATTTTAAGGGTGCATGGGCTTGAAACCTAAGTGCTCTAGCCATTTCAAGTAGGTGTTTGTGTTTTCGTTCAACAACGCCATTTTGTTGAGGTGTGTGGACACAAGAACTTTGATGTATGATACCAAGAGATCTAAAAAGAGAGCTACATTGAGCATTAAAAAAGTCCAGACCATTATCAGATCTAACCTTTTTAACAACAGCTGAAAATTGAGTTTTAATGAGATTAAGAAAGGAAGTAATGTGCACTATAACATCACTTTTCAACCTCAACAAGTAAATCCAGGTCATTCTGGAATGATCATCTACAATTGTAAGGAAGTATTTATAACCATTGTAACTACATTGCTTATATGGACCCCAAACATCCATATGAAGAAGTTCAAAAGGAAATACAGACTTTATAGTACTATTAGGAAATGAAAATCGAGTTTGCCTAGCAAGTGGACAAACAAGACATGAGTTGGAGTCTTTATGCTGAAAAGAAGAGTTGATGGAATGAATCTTCTGTAGAACAGCAGTAGGTGCATGTCCAAGTCTGAGATGCCAAAGTGAAGGATCAGCTGGAGTTGAAGATGAACAAGCTAAGGATGAACTAGTCTAGTGGGTGAAGATGACTTCTTAGTAATTGGAAGTAGGTATAAACCTTCCTTCTCTTTACCAATCCCCATCACCTCTCCAGTGTTGTAGCGACCCTAAAAATAGATAGGTGAAACTAGAGCCTAACGTATGAATGTTTAAAGTTTAAGCATAAATTGGAAGTAGTCACTTTTGGAAAGAAAAAAAAAACAGTTCAGAATCTGGAAATTTGCTAAGTTCAAAATCTGGAAATTCTGCCAAGTGTGGAAATCAGTGAGTTTTTGGCCAACTTTGAGCAGTCATAACACCTAGCTCAGGATGATCTAGGAGTAGTTCCAGTTATGTTTGGAAAGCCCTTGGAACGATCTTTCCAACGCCACCGAGTTTGCTCGATTCCGAGTTCGTATGAGTGAGTTATGCCCTTTGAAAGTTGGGCAGTTGGCAAGGAGTCCGTCCGGAAATTTAAGGGCATTTTGGTCTTTTCACAAATCTTTTCTTTTGAGGTTATATTATTGTGTTAGGCTGATTGTGGATCATTTTGTTCCATTTTAAAAGAGTAAGGAAGGGTTCTCTTTGGAACACCATTGAAGGCCAAGGTGAAGTTGGAGCTAGGGTTGAAGGTTTTGAGTGCTTTCTTCTTCAATTTTTCGTGGGTTTCAACTTAGAGGTATGGTGACCCTTGATCCTTGATCAATCTTTCTTTCAAGGAGTCCAATCAAAAGTGTTTCAAAGAACAAAATCTCAAATTCTAATCTAAGCATGGGTTCATTGGCAAAACGTTTTCTAAGCCATTATATTGATGAATTAATGTTTGATTAATGTTTTTAAGATGATTTCATATGGAATTCCTTGAAGAATCCATGTTTTCCCTAAATTCCTAAATTTGCTTATGAAGTGGGTCTTTTGCTTATGATTCAAAGTTTATGAGATTGTGTTTGGATTGGATTGTATTAGTGACTCTTATGATTTTCTACATCTATCTATGATGAATTGATGATGTATGGATAAATTGAAAGTTGTGGCCTTATGGGCAAGTTATGATGAATTCTCTTGTGGTAAGTAAAATGGTTGGGACTTGAGTGTTGTTGATTATGGCTTTGGAGGATGGTAAGTTGGCTTAATCTCTTATTATGGATAAAATTGTTCTTGCTTAGTTTGATCCACTTATGGTGGAGGTGTTTAATTATGGAATGTATTATGAACATGGACTTGAATGCATTATCTATTGAATTAAAGTGTTATCAAGTTATGAAATGTTATTGTACTATGTGAAGGTATTCTTATGGTTATAAGGTGATCTTGTACAAAGTGTTATTGTATTGTATATTATATATATAAATGAGGCTATATGTAAAGTCCTATATGAAGCTATATGTAAAGTTTTATGTGAAGCTTTATGTGTGAAGGTATGATGTGAATGAGTTTACGTGATCTTGTGATGATCCTATGTAAAGTGGATAGCATTGTGATTTAAAGTATGATTTTCTCATGATGTATATATATGAAATGATGTTGGATTATGAAGTATCCTTAGATGATAATGTTGTGACTTGGTTGGTAGACTAAAGTGTCCCTCCTTGTTACTTAAAGTCTTGAATGCATGAATGTGTGAAGTGGGCTAGAACTAAGAAATGGTGCCCTTTCTATAAATGCTAAAAGAGGAATTCTAGGCCAAGACTTGAATCGGCAAAACTAAGAAATGGTGCCCTTTCATAAGTCTAGCTTTCCTAAGTAAATGTATAACCTTGACGGATGGGCCTTAGGGCGAAGTTCCCTTCTTGAGTGAGATGATAGACTTAGAGATGGATGGAGCCGGAACGGCATGAAAATCCTTATCTAAGAAAGTCAAATGAGCTATCCTTATGAACCTTGATTGGCCATGACTAAGAAATGGGGCCTTTCTTGGGAAGAGGTACTATGAGTTGGTTGAACTAGAAAAGGAACCCTCTCTAAGTACATATGTGATTGAATACTCTATGGGAAACAAGGCTAGCACCGAGTGGATGTGGTTAGGAAGGTGGCCTAGTTGAGTATGAGATTAGGCACAATGAACTTCCTTGGACATCTCCTAAACCATGTGCCTACATGGGTTGCTTATTAGTTCTACCCTTGGCAAGTAGAACAACCTCCACGGAGTAGGATAGACTCCGAATTCCATACCTAGCTAGTATGGTCTATGTCGGTTATGCCTATTCCCATCATGCGGGATGTGCACTCTAGTTATTGGATAGGTTCTACAACGTGTAGGTAGTAGTATGGGATGCTATCTACACATGGCACGAGTAGGCTTTGAACATACTAAAGTGAGTTCCCTAAGTCTAACAACTATTATGTGAAAGTCCCCTTATGTGCTTAAATGTCTCCTAAAGTGGTTCATTAAAGAATTTTGACTTAGCATGTTATATTGTAATGGTACATTCCTTATCTATGGTAACCCTTAGGAACACTTAGGTGTATATAAAGAAATTGTATGGGCGGTCACTTCATGTTTCACTTAAGTGTGGCTTTGGGTAACTTGAGATAGAGGTCATGAAATGATGAAAAGGCTTACTTGTCAATTATATTCATGTATTGTACATTGGTACTAGTTGAGTATGTCTATTATGTGGGTATTGTCTTATATGTGGATGATGACTTGAAATGTGTCTCTTATAATTGTGATATGAAGGTTTTATCAAAAATGGCATGAAAGCACATATTTCAAATAAATGTCCTTTTTTAGCATGTTTTTGCATGGTCATCATACTTAGTACTTAATTGTGCTAATTCCATATTTCTCTATTTTCTACAAGTGTAGGTTCCGGCAAGTGAGCGGGTTTTGTAGTAAACTTGGGATTTGAAGTTCTTCCTAGATTTTGTGGTATGTCCTCGTATGTCGAGGGCAAGACTTTTCTATTCTAGTTTTATGATAAGATTCTTGTAATAGACTTCTTTTGATTGTAAAGGGCCGTGTCTCTAGTATGTTTTCACGTTTATGTCTAAGATGGCTAAGAGACTTAATATTCCGCTTGTGTACTTTTGAATGATGTTTTTAAAAGTGACCTTTGAGTCTTATGGGATTTTATTTAAAGAGTTTTTAATTCCGCACTATTTTTCATATCTAATGTGATGAATGCTAAGGTCTTGTATGAGACCTCCGAGAGGTTGAATACGCATGTTACGACTTGGGGATACTCCCGGGTCGTGACAAGTGTAGAGGTCCTGAAAGAGGCAAAAAGAAGGATAGAAAGATACACAACAGTGAAGTTCTTTGGTGAGTTTAGAAATTGATAGAAGATTATATTCAAAATGAGGAACTAAAAGTACATTGTGTAGTACACAATTGTTAAACAGTGAAACAGAACCAATGTGTGTAACTTCAGTGGTTTGTCCATTTGGAAGAAAAACTTGATTAGAGTGTGAAGGTGCAGGTGAGGATTGTAACAAGGATTCCATACTATAAATCATATGATTGGTAGCCCCAGTGTCAATTACCCAAGAAGGTTTGGTTAATCCTGCAGAAA